GGGGGCGGGGGGCGCGGGGGGGGAGGAAGAGGCCGGTCGCTGCTGAGTTATGAGCTATTTCTGACTCACGTCTACAACTTTCACAAGTCTTTTTTTTTTTTTTCTTTTTTTTTTTTTTTTCCCCCAAGGCAGGGGGGGGGGGGGGGAGGGGGGAGACCCCGGCGGGGAGGGGGGAGGGGCCGAAGGGGGGGGGGGGGGGGGGGGGTCGGGGGAGAGGGGGGGGGGGGGTCGTTTAAAGGCTGCTGATGGTTTGAACTTTGGGCACCTCAGCCAACAGCCGAGATTAGGGATGAGGGAGAAAGCATCTAGCAAATCAGTCGGGAGGTGGCCGTGTCCATCAGCACTTACACTTGAGCCAGCGGGCTCCGGCGTGCGTGTCCTTGTCCCGGATCAGCCTCCTCTGCGTGCAGCTCCTGCCCAGGTACCACAGCATCCACAGCAGCTGGATGAGCATCAGCGTGATGAGGTAGGAGAGCAGGTGGCTCTTGCTGATGCCCACGGCGTGGACGGCCCAGGCGAAGGTGAGCAGCAGCCCGGCCAGGAAGAGGTTGATGCCGTACTGGCTGCTCAGGATCTCGGCGTTTTTCTGCGGGTAACTGCCCAACGCCGAGGGGGAACCGGCAGATTTCTCCATCTCCCACCGCCGCCGGCCGGGACGCTGAGAGCAGGCGGGCCCGCTTCTCCCGGGGGAGCCCCGGGGACGGCGGCTGGCCCGGCCCCCCATCGCCGGTCGGGGGCGGAGCGGGGCCGCCGGCCCTCGTCCTGCCGTGCCGTGCCGTACCGTGTCGTGCCTCCCCGGAGCCACCGCCGCCCGCCCTGCGGGGACCTCCAGGTGGTCCCCGGCTGCCGGTGGGATGCCCAAAGGGAGGGGAGGGAGGGAGGGTCCGGGGAGAGGGCAAACAGCCATGTTAGTGTCAGAATGGTTTGGGTTGGAAGGGACCTTAAAGATCATGTAGTTCCAACCCCCCTGCCCTGGGCAGGGACACCTCCCACCAGACCAGGTTCACGGCCATGTTAGGGTCATAGAATGGTTTGGGTTGGAAAGGACCTTAAAGATCATCCAGTTCCACCCCCCCTGCCCTGGGCAGGGACACCTCCCACCAGACCAGGTTGCTCAAAGCCCCATCCAGCCTGGCCTTGAACACCTCCAGGGATGGGGC